TGTCCGTATACTTCAATGACTCCAGAGCGGCAGATTTAGAATTGCAGAGTGAGGGCTTTTTATAGAGCAGCCATTTTGAAACCAACATTAGATGATCACACAGGGAGAAATCTATCAGCAAAGACTAAACATGACAACAAGATTCTTGAAAGACAACAGCCTCAGTCAATTCACTGCAGCAACACATCATATCTGCACTTAGGGGTGTGACGGTCCACAGAGGTCACGGTTCAGTTCATACTCTGGTATGGGAGTCACAGTTCAGTAAGAGTTCAGGAGAGCAGAAAAATAAGCAAATGCATAGATACTTTTTTTCATCTATTCTGAACAGACAGCAGAGCAGGTGTCACAGACGGACACAGTCCTCATGCTGGAGACTGAGGTAAAATAAAAAATCAGAAGATGTCACTTTGCCTGGTCAGCTGTGATGGCACTGTAACTTTAATCTTCCAATTCTTTAACAACAACAACATTATAGACCAAGCCGTTTACCTGTGACTCAACACTCTGCAGTCCCACAAGTAAAACGACCTGGAGACTTGGCAACAGGTAACAGAGGTGAGACTGACACCTGGGATTACACAGAGCCTTCGTCGGAACAGAATCTGACTGACTGTAAATAAATCAAAGTGAAACATTAAATGTCCTCTTCCTGCTTTTGCTGAGGGGACCCTGAACCTCCTGCAGGATGTTAAGAGGACGGACACACTGAGTCAGCAGCCGTCTCTTCCTGTGGCCGTCAGGACCTCAGTAGCAGCTCCAGACACAAACAGAGCACTCATCTGTCTGCAGATAAACCTGGCTGTCCTCTGCTGGGAGCTTGGAGAGATAAAAGTCATCCAAGCGGAAGCTGCATTATTTTTAGGCTTTATTTATTAGGATAATTTCAGCAGCGTGATAGGAAATGTGGCTCCATCCATCTATTATCTATACCTATCCATCATCCTGTGCAGGGTGTCACAGGCTGCACCCATTTCCAGGACACAGTGGGTACTCTTGGACAGGTTGCCAGTCTATCACAGGGCTGATTTTTGTATTATAAATGATGATATAAAAGCCACTTGTCAAATAATGTCAGGTTCAAATAACAGCACAAACTAATAAAAACTTGTTGTTAATAAATGTCTCATGATATAAACAGTGAGGGGTTAGAATTGTGGATGTATAAAGTGTTGGAGACAGTTCATTCCTGTTAACGTTGTTCAGTAATGCATGAAGCCAAAAAAGCTGATTTCCATGTCATGAAATTACCCAGATCTTCTGCATCATGGGGCCCATAGAGCAAGCTCACTAGAGACGTACAGCAGCCGAGCAGTTCCATGTTAGCTCTTCCCTTACATGAATGGGAGTAAAAATTATTTTTATTATTTTACGATATTTTTATGGCTTGTTGCCTTTCCTAGATGGGACAGTTCAAGCACAAAAGGAAGAGACAGAGAGAACATGTGACAAAGGGCCACAGGCTGGAACTGGACCCACGGCAACTGCAGCAAGGACATACCTTTGTACATGGGATGCCCGCTCCATCCAGTGAACCACTGAGCACCCCGGGAATAAAATTATTTAATCATATGGCTCCTCTAGGCTTTAGAAATAAGACCAAGTGGATCAAAAAGAGTGAAACGAGTGATTTTGCAAGGGTTGTGATGCTTAAAAATAACCATACCCACTGATTTACAATGTAATTCTATGGGAAAAATACTTTTTGGGGACCCATGGCATCACGTGACGGACTCAGAGGTTGTAATTCCACGTTTGGCTACTTTGTAAAAATGGCTTCAAAGCCCAGCACTGTTCCTCAGAGCTCCATTGGAATTACCTGTAGCTTTAATACCTATGAAACTTCACACTTACTCCAGATTTTTCAAATTAAAAGCCGACTAATTACAGCTGAAAGCCTGAAAAGGACACCACACCCATTCAAGCAAACATACATGGGTGTCGTTTGGATTTGTTCAGGTGTATGTTTCTTTTATACCTATATGAGTTGAGGGTTTGTGTCCACTGGGAAGCAATGTCACGTTTAGCGAACCACAATGTTAAGAATGCGGCATAGAAATCAGGAAATGAACCACCACATCTGTGAAACGACAGTGAAAGAATTTATCAGATGGGACAATGACGAGATAAGCAACAATGGTCAGTGCCTTGAAGAAGAATTTAGTTTCCTATGCTCCTCTAGAAGATCATTTTCGGCAGTACGGTGCTGAAATGAAACTATGGCCAAACACTGACAGAAAGAAAGACAAGATCAACCAATCTGCTTGCTTGACACGTAGGTCTGCATTTCACATCGTTGAGATTTCAGATGTGTGTGCTTCAGCTTAGTATCTCAGCAGAAACATAATTCCAGCTTTATGATTGTGACCACAATAAGCAATTATCTTATGAGCAAATGATTTGTTTTTTCAATTAATAGATTAATTTCTTCTTTATACAAATTATACATTTAGGTGTGAAATGTCCGACCACCAGACCAAAACCAAGAGAGGTTAACAGAGATATAAAACCAGAGAAAAGCAGCAAATCCTCACATTGAAAAACCTCATGTTTTTATCTCCTGTCTTTCTGTCAATCAATTTATTGACTAATCGTTTCACCTCTGGTTATGGTGGATGTAGGCCGCCTTGCCTGAAGCAAAGACCACCTCTGCTAACTGCTAAGGAGCAGAGGTGCAGTTTCTCACAGTGAATGCCATTATACGCACTGTAACTGCTGTTAAGGCCGCCCTCTATTAACTAATAACATCACGAGACGAGATGCATCAGGATCTGTGTGCGGACCACCTCAGCTGAACCACTTCATGGGGGAAACCCTGAGCAGTCGTCATCAGAGCAGATGCACATTTTGATGTATAGTTGTTAATCTCTTATGCTGACTTTATTAAAATCTGAGGACTAAAAAGCTTGTTAATTAGCCTGAGTGAGTTTTATGATCCAATACACCTGTCAAAAAGACTCTCTGGTGCACACAGACTCTGTCATAGTTATATTATGTTGTTATGTGGATGTGTCAGGTCTCAGCACCCACACTGATCCAGTACATCACACCAGTGCAGCACTAATTATCTTGCTTCGCTGGTAAATGACAGACCTAGGCTCACACCTGGTGAAATACCATGAATCCATCAGTGAAGAAGAGAACATTTGATCAAAACAAGCCATTTTGCCTTTGGCATCCAGTGAACAGCAGCGTCACTTTGCCATCGCTCCCCTCAAAATCCCCTCAAATTCAACTTATTTCAAAAACCCTGACATCAAAGTTTCCCCTGCGACTAATTTTCTTTGCAAAGAGCTTCTCTGTTTGGTGAATTAGCAGCAGAGGAAAACAGAAGGAGCAATGCCCTCGTTTGGAGGTCACAAGCTGAGGAGGAGTCACCATGAGCCAAGATGCGGGATCCCCCCTCCTTCCTAACGCAATAAGGCAGGACACACCCAGATAGAGAGGGGAGGAGGAGGAGGAGGAGGAGGAGGAGGAGGAGGATGGGGGGGGTGAAGGAGAAGGAGATGGATGAAATGAGAGGAGAGGAGAGGAGGAAAAAGGAGCAGAGCAGCTACTGGTGCTCATCCGCCCATCTTTGCAGATGACGTAAGGACGGTTCTTCGCGAGCTAGAACACCCGTTAATTAAAATAAAACGAGCTCGGTAACGATTTTGTTCTCCCTCCACCCCTCGTTCAATACGACAGCCCGAAAAGCAGAAGTACTATTTACAATGTGTGCGCCAAATGTGGGCAAACCACTCCAACAAGCTGAACAAGCTTATCCCGAAGACGCCGCATTCATGACGACAGTGTGAGGACACCGGAGTCACATCAGAAACACACACATTTTAACATCACAACAGAAGCAACAACCGCAGCAACCAGTGTTCACTGAGAAAAAACACAGAGCCTCCTTTTTTTAATGAAGTTACCAGAGACCGTGTAATTTACTGATGACAAAGGGGTTCTTTTGGTAACCAAGGGGAAATATCACTCGGAAAACAAAACATTGTAGGCAGGGACTATGAGCAAACTGTTTCCAGACACTCGGAGACATCCGCAGGCGGTCTGATTCCTGCCTCGCAACCACTGCAACAGTCGATACGTGCCGTTCTGTCGCCCGGGGAGACCCGTAACAACAGCGCCATTCAGAATCTGCCTATTTAACCAACATGTCCTCGTTAAAGAGTGGACGTGAGGGTTTTATAGATTTTAACCTCCCCAGTAGGGATAACTGGAAACAGCTTTCAATTCGGCATACCCCCAGCGCACGTACAAACATGTTATTTCACTAAAATGATAACTTTACTAACTGATAAGCACTCAACGGTCTCCTGGCTGGAAAACACACAGCGCTGGGCGACAGAGGCTCGCGAGCACTGCGTAACATGCCTAAAAGTTGATATTTTATCAAATATGACTGCAGTTCGATGTATTATATGTGTATTGATTTCTAAACAATCGTGCAATGGCACCGTTTGTGTTTTAAGTGGTGTTTTGATGTGTCGAAAAACGATGTTAAGTTGCCGTTTTAACGTCCACATTTTTGAATGGAGACTTGACAGCGATGACTGCAGACGAGCGAGAGGCACGTATCGGGGCTGTAACCTAGCTAACTGTCGGGACGTTTGGGCAGAAGAAACGGGTTAGAAAACGTGCCTCGGGGGTTTATGAGACACTGTTGATATGAATCCTGCGGTTAATATGGTAAAAATGGAGGTTAAAATGTCCCTGAAGTGGACTGTGGTACGTTCACACCTGTGGAAAACCCCAAATTCCAGTGTAGTTTTGCTAATAAGTGGGTGTCAAGGTAAAGAAACAGCGGTTGTTGAACGTTACCCGGATGCTAAGCAGTGCGGACAACTGGGGACACGACAGACTCCTTAAAAACACGTTTAAAAATCACTTTAGCGGACACACGACGCTGTGTTTCTCGTCTTTCAGCCACAAGTGATTGGAAAAGAAATCGGACTTGTGGCGGATAAAGTTGCAGAAAGCACACAGAAAATACACGTTACCTCCTCCACTCGGGGATCCTCGTCCAAATCACGTCCTGTGGTTGTGTTGGTGAGGCAGAGCAGCGTCTTCAGTTTAGAGGGGTTTGTCCATTTCCCAGCAGGGATCCAACTTGACAACTGCAGTGGTGAAAAATGATTGACAGACCGGGTGGGGGGAAAAGATCTTCAGCGTCCCTTTGTTCCGACGTTTAAACCAGTTTCTTTGACAGTAATTACATCAGTGGGAGCATCAGCTGTGGTCCTGCAGCGGCAGCCACCCCAGAGGAAGGAAAACAATCCAGATTCAGTCAGAGATCAATCCGGCAAAAGGAAGAAATAAACTCCCCTTTCTTTCTCCTGGAATAAAAGCAGAGGAGGGTAAAGGCTCTGGTAACAAAGAGCACATCCAATAAGTGCGGACTGGTGGTGTGTTTGTGTTGCAGAGCGGTGGGTGGGACTGGAGGGGTCCGACACATTCAAACGGGGACCAGAGAAAAGACCCAAAGTCCGGGTCAGCGTCTTTTCCTGGCTAGCTGGGGAAACTGAAGAGAGGGAAGTGAACTGGTGCTGGAGACCGCGAGAGAGGGAGGGACCAGCCCGGGATTACCCTGTTTTTAAGGTGGATCTATGAATTAATTAGGTAATCAGGCAGAAACAGAGCCCTGGCTATCGAGAACATCAGCCCCGGGGTGAACATCCAGGATACAGCCCTGGAAACTTCATAAAGGAGGAATTATCTGAGGAGGAGAGGAGATGCACATCTGGATCTCCTCTGGACCGATGTATGGAGGCTCATTTCCGCCCACTGCAGAGAATGAAATCATATTTTATGTTCTCATTTTAACTCTTTTTTTTTAGGATACAAGAGGGAGAGGTGCCACGGATAGGGGGCAATACTCTGGAGAATACAGTCAAAATAAATAAATAACGAGTCTAAGATAATATTTAAAGATTAATTTAATATTTAAAGAATAAAGTCATTGTATTTCAAGAGCAAAGTAATTTTTCCTGTAAAAGGTCAAACAATATTTTAGGATAAAGTCGAAAAAGTTTAATATTTTGACAAAGAAGACAATCTCCTGTCCATGTCATTTGACAGTATTTTATTTTGCAATAGTAAAATTCTAATATTTGGGGAACAAATTTGTAATATATAAAGACTTAAAGAAAATTTCGAGAACAATGTAATATTTTAACAATAAAAAAAGTTGTATCTAAGGTAAGATTTCGAGTGAGGAAGGATTGCAACTAAAAAAAAGGGGGGAGAAAGGGTCGGGGTTATGCAGATTTTGTGAATGAACTCAACATGTATTGGGGGAAAAGTCATTATTTCAAAAATAAAGTTGTGATATGTCATGACTAAAGTCGAATTATTTCCAGAATTATGAGAAAAAAGTGATAACATTTCTAGATTAAGTCTACATGTTAAAAAGTTATAATATTGTGAAACTGGTGTTGTAATATTTTGACAAAAAGAAAAGTTGTAGGCTACTATTTAGTTAGTTTAGTTACTTTTTTCAGTTGCTATATTCTAAAATTGAGTAGAAATATTTTAAGATTAAAGTCCTGATATTTTGGAAATAATGTAATATTTTAAAATGCAAATAATATTTTTTATTTTTAATCTATTAATAAAAAAGAGGGAGGATTAACCTGCATGTCTTTGGACTGTGGGAGGAAGCTGGAGTACCTGGAGAAAACCCAGGCTGACACGGGGAGAACATGCAAACTCTGCACAGAGCGGCTCCCTTTAAGCGGATCGAACCAAGAACCCCTCCCGACAGTGCTAACCACCACACCACCGTGCTGCCCAACTTTGAATGTCATACTGGGATACAGAAACACGGTAAATTCTACTTAATGTGATACTTCAGGGTGTCCTCTGGACCAGCGTATGGATGCCTAATCATGCCAGAAAAATAAATTAACAGATGAAAAGTTGGACTGTGGAAAATACCGATCGATCAAATTCCACACACTTCTTACAAATCAAAACAATAAGATAGTTTCTTATGAATGTGACTCAGCATCTAATACTTTTGACAAAGTCACAATTTTGAATACATGGGCATGGGAAGTTGGGTGCTGAGAGTGCTGCAGCACACCCTGTTGACAAAGGATGTAACAACAAAGTCTGCAAACAGAGTGCCTCAGGAACAAGTCCTAAACCCTGGAAATGAGTTAGCATTTTTGCACTTATTGTCCTTTCATCTCATAGTGAATGGGTTTTTTTGAATGGGTTTTTGGTTTGGTGCCTGAAATAAGTTCTGTGATTGCCACAAGCTTAAGAGAATTTCAGGTTTTGCTCTAAGACATATAATATGCCAGTAAATACCCCACTCATGAATTTTGAAGCTATTATGTGTCTGTCAAAAGGCGGTGACTACAGAATGTCATCACAACAAACACTGCTTGTTGATGTAGGGAACTTTAATCATGTGGACCCTCATTGGCTTTTTACTTCTGGTGATCTCATTTAGGTTTCAAGAAATCATCAATGTGGTGTTTATTTGTGAAGATTATCTTGCTCAACAAAACCTGTTAGGCATCATAAACTTTTGTTTGCTACAGAGCTTATTTTCTGCAATAATCTCAATGGAAACATCCCAGAGGCTTTGTGTCGAGGGAACCATGTGTGTTTTACCATTGCCACTGATGGGCTATCTGAACATTTGTTATACATTTTGAACAGCATATGATGAGGTGCCTGTCAGAAAACATGAAAAAAGATGTTTAAAATGAGTGTATGTAAATAGGCCCTCCAATCTGACAATGTCATCACGTCAGGTCAATGCTAAACTTGGAGAGAGATTTGTGGTAGTGGGAGCTAATCTAATAGTGCAGCCAGGCTGAGAAAGACCAGAAAATCAGTGAGACAGTAGTTTTGGAGCTGCGTTCTAGCTCCATAAAATATTTTATGGTGTTATGCCAGCCAATGATGGATTTACCCGGGGGATGTGAGGGGCTCAGGCGAGGAGTCAACTGGATGTCAGACACCACAGAAAATGAAATATTATACATTTTGGCACAAGCAGTTCAGACAGAAATTGTGTCTGTAGCGAGGGAGCACGTATTCTTTGGACTAAGAGCTGATTAAACCCCGATGTAAGTAGGTATGAGCAGTAGCTCTCGTAAGTGTGTACACATACATAGTAATGTGCACATATGTATTCTGTATAGCAACCCTCAATGGAAATATGTTCCTGTGTGCATGTTTGAATATGTATTTTGAATATGTAATGATATGTAAAACAAATGCAGATTTGTAAAAAAGAGATTCATAGAAATGGGGTTGTGTTGCCTGTGGATGCATTTACCTTCACACTGCCAGTTATAACTGTTAGTGGTGTCACAGACATAATTTTGGTCGCCATTTTGTATCTAACACTTGACATGAATGGAAAATGTTACAGCCAGTTAAGACTCAAACACCTGAATCCAACTATACAATAAAAAATATCAAATTGAATCTCAGCTGAGTGAAACTAGAATTACTGCCTCATGGTTGTATGCCTCCGTGCACCAGTTAAGTTGCACTTATAGTTTACATCCATGTCTGTGAATACACGGATGCTTCACGTCTTCCCCGCAGCAGCACAGAAAATCTGTACAAGCAACAGTTTCAAGGTGGACACCAACAATTAGTGTCACCAATTCAGTACCTGACCAAATGTCTCCCCTTTTGTTCCTGAGTTATGCTGCTGATGATGGCCAGGAAAATGTTTTTACAGAACATTATGATGTCACAGTGAAGTTGAACTTTGACCTTGTGGAAATAAAATGTCACTTCAATATTTTATCCTATTAGACATTTATGTGAAATTTTGTCATAATTAGCATATGAAGTCTTGAATTATGGCTAAAAACATGTTTTGTGAGGTCAAAGTGACCTTGACCTTTGACCATCAAATTCTAATCAGTGCATCCTTGAGTTGAAGTAGACGTTTGTACCTAATTTGACAAAACTACCTTAAGGCATTTTTGAGATATATATTTCAGGAGAATAAGTTGGATGCAACGTCACAGTGATGTTTGACAACCAAATTTTAATCTGTTAATTATTAAGTTTAAGTGAACGTTTGTGCCAAATTTGACGAAATTCCCTGAAGGTGTTTGTGAGATTCTTGCATTCACAAGAATGAGAAGGATACAAGGTCACATTCATCTTAACCTTGACCTTCGTCCTCCAAGATTTTATCAGTTCATCATTGAGTCCAAGTGAATGTTTGTGCCGAATTTGAAAAAAAAAAAAAAAAAAACCCAAAGGGCACATGTTCATGGGGTAACCAGCAGTGGGTTATTTCAACATCCTTTTGGAGTGAGAGGGTGACGTTCGTACAGTAGGTGTTCTTATACTTTGATACTGTTTTGATATGGACTGATATTTGTTTTAATGTTCTGTCTTGTTTTGGAATGCTCAGTTTCCTTTTCAGAAGAATAAGATGGATGTAACGTCCCAGTGACCTTGATGTTTGACCACCAAAGTCTAATCAGTTTATTGTTAAGTTTAAGTGAAAGTTTATGCCAAATTTGAAGAAATTCCCTCAAGATGTTTTTGGAATATCACATTCACAAAAATGAGAAGGCTGCAAGAAATCCTCAGGGCGACCAGCAGTGGGTTGTTTCGATGTCCTTTTGGAGTAAAGGGGCGAGTGTATGTGTGTATATAGAAGCAATTTATCATGACATTTGTAGGTATTCTTATACTTTGTTCTTATATTTTGATACTGTTTTGATACAGAGTGATACTTGTTTTATTGTTCTTTAAATCTGTATCGCTGATGTCTTGTTTTGGAAAGCTTAGTTCCCCATCTGCACAACAAATTTACCCTTGGTTGCTAATAGAGAAACACTGAACCTTGACATGTTCTTGAGATATTACATTCACAAGAATGAGAGAGACAAGGTCACAGTGACCTTGACCTATGAATGTCAACATGTAATCAGTTAATTGTTGAGTCAACACAATTGAGGTGTTCTTTGGATATTGTGTTTACAAGATGAGGACTGACGTATGGACTGACAGATGTACATATGTATTGATGGACAACCCGACAACATAATGCCTGCAGCCATTGCTAGCACTAACGTGGAGGCATAATAACAAAGAGTCTTCCTTGAATAGCAGTGTATTGAATTTTTTATGGATCATGTAGGTTGTATTTAACCCTTGGAGAGGAACGGTATTGTCCTTTCACAGGTGTGATGGAGACTGATGGGTGTGTTGAACATTTTCAATGGAAGCTGTTTTTTTAACTGCCGTTTTGGTGAAAATCTTTGATGATTAAAGCCTTTAATAGTTACGAAAAGCAGAGATCACACCGTTTTCCCTGAGAAATGAAGATGTACCTTGACGAGACTGTGCTCATGTGTGGTGATTTTTTTTTTCTCGTCCAAATGCAGAACATGAACAAAGAATCAGAAAAGAAATTTCTCTCCGACTGCCAACTGGCCACTCAATCAGCTCTGCCTCCTACGCTATGCTAATGACAGAGAGGCAGAGAGGTGATTAAAACTGCCATTTAACAGCACAGTACACTGCCTCACTTTCAGCACATGCTGACTGCAGAAGAAGGAGAGCTGCTGATTCTCTTAACTGTTCCCAAAGTCACTGTCAGTCACCGCCGACCACAGCTGCTCATCCTGACTGTGTGTCAGTGCTGTGCCCCAGATCTGTACACTCATCTTCATCATATACTGTTTCTGTGGTTAGTGTACAAAATATCGACACACTTCACTGCTCAGCCATTCTGTCAGAAATTATGTTTCTACAGGACTCAAGGTTTTTATGTAT